CCACCCTGAAGAGGGTATAGAGCTGGTCCAGTGTTCTGCAGCCAGGACGAAAACCGCATTGTTCCGCCTGAATCCGAGGTTGGACTATCGGTCGAATTCTCCTCTCCAGTACCCTGGCATAGACTTTCCCGGGGAGAGTGAGGAGTGTGATCTCCCTATAGGTGGAACACACCCTCTGGTCCCCCTTCTTGAAAAGAGGGGCCACCACCCCGGTCTGCCAGTCCAAAGGCACTGTCCCCAACCACCATGTGACATTGCAGAGGCGTGTCAGCCAAGACAGCCCCACAACCTCCAGAGACTTAAGGTACTCAGGGCGGATCTCATCCACCCCCGTGCCTTGCCACCGAGAAGTTTCTCAACTACCTCGGTGACTTCAGCTTGGGTAATGGACAAGTCCACCTCTGAGCCCTCAACCTCTGCCTCCTCACCGGAAGACATGATGCCAGGGATGAGGAGATCCTCAAAGTATTCCTTCCACCATCCGACGATGTCCCCAGTCAAGGTCAGCAACTGCCCACTTCCACTGTAAACAGTTTTGGCAGGGCACTGCTTCCCCCTCCTGAGGCATCGGACGGTTTGCCAGAATTTCTTTGAGGCTGACTGATAGTCCCTCTCAATGGCCTCACCAAACTCCTCCCATACCCAAGTTTTTGCCTCCACAACCACCCGGGCTGCAGTCTGCTTGGCCTGCCAGTACCCATCAGCTCCCTCAGGAGTCCCACGAGCCAACCAGGCTCGAAAGGTCTCCTCCTTTAGATTGACGGCATCCCTTACTTCCAGTGTCCTGTAGTGGGTAAAATCAATGCACAAGGAAAATTGCTGCAGTGCCAAAAGTCATTTATTGAACAGTAGATCACTTTGCAAGTCTTTTAAGTCTTTTGTCACTCTGCAGAGGAAGTCAGGTAGTCTGGTCACATGTCCCCCAGGGTCTTCACGCACAACTCCACTCCTGATCAATCCCCCTGCTACTTTTTATTCCCATCTCTCTCCTTTATATTCTTTCCTCATTAGCTCAGCCCTGCACTATCATCTCCTTTGGGGAAAACTCCTGACCATCTGACTTCCCTCTCGAGCAGCCCAGAAAAAATAGGTTGCTGACCTTTCCTAGTTACACAAGCATTTTCCTATCTTAACACTAGAAGTCTATTTTAGTATCTATTCTAAGAGACATTTATGTAATATCCCATGACACATGTTAATCAGGAATATGTTAAAGGATTAACCACTAGACATATACTGTTTGTTTTAACCACTACAGTCCACCACCAGGTTCGAGGATTGCCACCACGACAGGCACAGGAGACCTTACAGCCACAGCTCAGAGTGGCCGCATCAGCAATGGAGGTGGAGAATGCAGTCCATTTGGATTCAATGTCTCCAGTCTCCCTCGGGATCTGGTCGAAACTCTGCCGGAGGTGGGAGTTAAAGATCTCCCGGACAGGGGTTTCTGCCAAATGTTCCCAACAGACCCTCACAATACATTTGGGTCTGCCAAGTCTGTCCAGCTTCCTCCCCCGCCATCGGATCCAACTCACCACCAGGTGGTGATCAGTTGTCTCTTCACCTGAGTGTCCAAGACATATACGACCAGAGGTCAGATGAAACAACCACAAAGTCAATCACCGACTTCCAGCCTAGGGTGTCCTGGTGCCACATGCACTGGTGGACTCCCTTATGCTTGAACATGGTGTTCGTTATGGACAAACTGTGACTAGCACAGAAGTCCAGTAACAGAACACCGCTCGGGTTCAGATCGGGGGGGCGTTCCTCCCAATCACGCCCCTCAAGGTATCACTGAGTGTTGAAATCCCCCAGTAGAACGATGGAGTCCCCAGTCGGAGTACTTTCCAGCACCCTTCCCAAGAAGGCCGGTTACTTTGCACTGCCATTTGGCCCATAGGCACAAACGACAGCAAGAGACCTATCCCTGACCCGAAGGCGCAGGTAAACGACCCTCTCGTTCACTGGGGTAAACTCCAACACATGGCAGCTAAGCTGGGGGCTATAAGCAAGCCCACACCAGTCTGCTGCCTCTCACTGTGGGCAACTCCAGAGTAGTGGAGAGTCCAGCCTCTCTCAAGGAGTATGGTTCCAGAGCCCAAGCTGTATGTGGAGGTGAGCCTGACTATCTCTAGCTGGTACCTCTCAACTTCCCGCACAAGTTTGCTCCCGTTATCCACCGACGAGGTGACATTCCATGTCCCCAGGTCTAGTCTCCGTGTCCAGAGATCGGGTCATCAGGGCCCTTGCCTTCGACCGTTGCTCAATCCACCAGCCCCTTACGAATCCTCCTGTAGATGGTGGGCCCACGGGAGGTCATTCTCCTTTCCATAAACAAGACTGTAACCGGACTTGTCTCCCCCTTAATGAGGCCCAGAATGGTGGTGTCATCAGCATATTTAATAATGATGGTGTTGTCGTGGGTGTACAGGGTGAAGAGTTTGGGAGTGAGACAGCAGCCCTGCGGTGAGCCTGTGCTGATTGTGCATTCAGCAGACACCCGCCCTCTCATTCTGACTACCTGTGGTCTTTCAGTCAGGAAGTCCAGAATCCAGTTGCAGGTGGGAGTTGAGACACTGAGTTCTGTCATCTTCCCAATCAGCCTACCTGACCAAATGGTGTTAAATGCAGAACTGTAATCCAGGAAGAGCATCCTAGTATATGTACTGCTGTTGTCCAGGTGTTTCAGGGTATGGAATAAAGCCAGAGCTATCGCATCATCCACTGATCTGTTGGGGCGGTAGGCAAACTGGAGGGGGGGGTCTACAGTGTCTGGGACCATGTAGTTAATGTGTGTGAGGACCAGCTTCTCTAAGCATTTCATGGTGACTGATGTAAGCGCCACTCACTTGAATTCATTCAGATGGATGTATCTGTTGTCTTAGGGACCGGAATGATGATGGATTTTTTGAAAATGCGAGGAACTACTGCTTGGGTTAAGGACAGGTTGAAGATGTCTGTTTACACACTAGCTAGTTGATCCCCACAGGCTCTCAACACTCTAGGGGGGGACACCGTCTGGTCCCTCCGCCTTGTGGGGGTTTACCTGTTTCAGGGCCTTCTGGACCTGTGTGTGCGTTACCTGAGAATTAGTGTCCCCGGGGCCGCAGGGGGATTTTGAAGGGGTGTCTGTGTTCATCCTATCAAACCTCACATAGAAGTTGTTGAGGCTGTCCAGGAGGGTGGCGTCCTGGGGGGCTGTGTTTGTTGATTTGTTCCTGTAGTTTGTGACTTTATGTCACTGGTGATGGTTCTGTGTGGCTCTGGCTGTGTGTTTGGGCTCGTTGTCATGCCGCCGAATGAATTAGGGAGTAGATGGTATCTGTGTGAAGGATAAGAATCGAAAAATCTGAAAAGCCTACAACTTCTACACAGTATTGTATGTTATAAAGGAGACTTCTGCAAAAGGAAACCAAACAGTCTGGGGTGTGTCCCCATGTCACCAAAAGTGACTTGGAATTGTGCTGGAGCGGGAACCCTGCAATCAGAATCTGCTTTATTGGCCAGGTGTGTCGGACACACGAGGAATTTGATTCTGGTACATTGGCTCTCAATGTGTATGTACATATCCCCATGCAAGAGGCAAGTAAACAGTAAACCAGCATAAGGCTGTGTAACATAACAAAATAAGCAGTATTAACAAGCAACAAACTGCAAACAATGCAAAATAAGCAGTATAAGCAGGCAGTAAACAATGCAGACAAACAAGGAAGGCTCATTGTGATTTCTTATAGAGTACTTAAAAATAGAGACCTTGTATGGATCTGAATAGTCTGTACAATGTACATTTCTGGGTATTGCACTGAGGGTTATTGTCCAGTCATACTGTCGTGAGTCAAGTGTTCACTAGAGTGACAGCCTGGTGAACTTCTCCTGTTTGGTTGCTGAGCCAAACCAGACAGTGATGGAGGTGCAGAGAACAGACTCAGTGATTCCTTCGTAGAACTATATCAGCAGCTCCTGGGGCAGGTTGAACTTCCTGAACTGGCGCAGGAAGTACATCCTCTGCTGTGCCTTCTTGATGATGGTCCTGATGTTGGACGTCCACTTCAGGTCCTGCTGATACAGTGCTGCCAAGTATGGTGGGGTGGGAGGGGCTAAGGTGAGGGGGCTCTTCCTGAAGTCCACTGTCATCTCTACTGTTTGAGCATGTTCGGCTACACCACAGGACCAGCTGCTCAACCTCCCGTCTATACACTGACTTGTCACCGTCTCGAATGAGACCAATGACCATTGTATCATCAGCAAACTTTAGGAGCTTGACAGAGGGGTCCTTCGAGATGCAGTCGTTGG